TGATTTGAAATTTTTAATGTTCTTTTATATTTTCGTTTTTTTTTCATTTTATTACGTTTAGACCTTCAGTAGAATATTTGAGAAATTAATTATAGAAAAATTGACTATCAAACAATAAAGAAAAAATCATAGTTCCATTTTGAAAGCCAACGTTTTACTCTCTTGATACAAAATACATCATCCAGACTTTAACGCCAGAAATACTACCTCGAGATCAGTGATATATTATCTGATTCGTTTTCAGCAATAGGATTTCATAATTAGCTTATCAAGATCAGTAGAATTACGTTCAATTTTGTTGAGGTACATCTTATTTAATATCTTAACAATTATTAAATTGATTTCTTTAGAATGACTAACAGCCCAAAATGTGTAAAAAAAAGGGCGAAATAAATAATTTCACACAGATGTGCAATAAAGTGGTCAAAATGTTCCAGGGGCTTAAAGGTTGTCAACTGTCTTCTAAAGAATTACCAAAAAATAAAGGCATATATCTGCAAACACTAAATAATTTCAAAAGCAGAAAAATAATGTTAAGGCAAAAATTAAAGCGTTGCAATTGTAAACGTTAACAGCGATCATGGAGTGGGTATCTAATAGGAAGAACTCGTCTGTATAATACCGAAACGGAAAAATACACATGCGGCGTGATATTTCATAAATAATCTAATATAATAATATTAAATCAATTCGAGAATTATGATTTCCTTGGTGTCAAACATAGAATAAGAAAAGAAATAGTGAATACAAAATGGAAATGAACATACATATGCATAATAGTAAAGAAAATTCATTTGAAATAAAACAAACAAACATAAAAATCTATTGATATAATTGAATTACAGTTTGTATAGGTAAACTTTTTTCATTGCAGGACGCTTGAAATAAGTTAATCTTGGAGGTTACTATTATTATGGAATCGAGGATTACCAATTCCTCAAGCTACGAACCTTGGAAGACTATTAAAATAATTGATAGACTTCGTAGGATTAGCTTACAAAGAGGCAAGAAATCAAAGACAATCAGTACTCAGTAGTTACAACTATTCATCATAGCTAAGCAGTTAGTACAATATAAAAAAAGCTATTCGATTAAACAATTAATCCATTTAAATTTGATAAATATGAAGATAAAATAGTTTCAGTGAATTATTTTGGATATTCTTTGGGAAAACTTTCATATACGTATAGGAAAAAGAATAATTGAAAATTCGCACCAAAGATAAGGATGAATGAATAATGAAAAAATTGATTAACTTTATTTCAAAATAACTGGAATTTCAATCCATAATAATGTTTTTACCATGAAAGAGTAATGTTTCACCTAATCGTTCAGAGCCAAAGGAATTACCTATTTTGGAATTTTTAAGAGAATTGAGTTTAACAAATTTGTATACACCACGTAACTGTAGTATTCAAACAATCTCAAATAATAATAAGTCAGAAGTTATTGAAATTTAAAGTATATTTAAATACAGTTTTTACTTTAATTTGCAATATAGATGGAATAGATCAAATAGTTGGAAACATTCCGACACAAGAGAAAAGGAACGAATAAGATAGCTGTTTACCTTTTTTACAAAAATTTTAAGATATTAGCCTCCTTGCATCTATAAAACTGTAGTATTTGATTCGAGTACATATTACTTTTCACAATTATTAAGCGTTGTAAAAATACAAAGTATTCGTGATGAAACAGACGATCATAAAATAATGTTTATTGAAAAAAATGACTGTCCGTAACTTATTTACAAAACGATAAGAAATTTGAAGCTTTTGCCTAACAGAGAAGTAAGTATTATACATTTCTGAATATATAACATAAATATGTATAAAGAACATTTAAAAATAATATATGTATATAACAAGACCCACTCTGTTTTCAAATCTTATTATACGTTCACATGTGTATTCTAAAAAACATAGTGGTTAATTTGAAAAGAATGTGCTATTTGAAAAATAAGAAATAGTAAATAATTAAATAAGAAAAAATAAAGAATGTGCTATTTGAAATACGAAAATTGACCAAAAAATACGCATTCTGTCATTCAGCTATTTGAAAGTAAATATTTAATTTAACAATGATAATAATTATATACAACTTAATTACTAATTAATTATATAAAAATTATTAGATTAATTAGTTATTAATATGTATATATATATATATATATATATACATAATATGATTGATTGTAACGAAGATTTGTAAGTTGATTTCCTAATTGTTCTTTTGCCGCTTCCAAATTTTCGAAACACGCCCTGTAAAATTTGAATAGATCTAAAACTTATATTTCCTCGCGAAGAATAAATAATCGAAGTTGCAAATAAATCATGTCTCCAATTACTGCATGAGAATTCCATCGAATAGTGATAGAAACTTCAAATGAAGCCGCACCTTATTAGACTGCAGCCAAATCATCGCGCGACCAGAAAACTGCTAGCGTGCTAGGTGTAACAGGAGAATGCATACACATGTATTAATAAGTATGTACACCCACTATAACCAGTAAATACAACTAAATAGTCGCCGTTGGGTCATGCACTTTACAGTGTCTCGTAAGATGCGGACCGCAGCGACCTCGGCAAAGGATTCAGATCGCCGGATTTGCTACGGATCATCACAGGGCGTATTCCTTTCACTAGCTGTCTGTTACGAGCAGGATGCACGGTGTAACGATCCAGTGCGCCGAGTCGACGATCCTTACGCCATCCTTTACATTGAACAGTTGTACACAAACGTAATGATCTGTCGTGCGACGAATCATGTCGAAATGTGGCACAGTAGAGACTCCCGTATCCGAATTGATAAGGAGATAAAGGTATACGAATATAGACATTTTCGGATAATAGAGCTAGCAAATAGAGTCATAAAAACGTACGACTAAAGAAATTTGCAGAGATTGGAATCAATTAATAGGAACCTGAGAATATACGAATAGAAAACTTTTCGAATAATAGAACTAATATTAAACTCTGATTTTGATAATACATTTATTTTAAAAATTCAATTAAACTTGTTTCGTTTGAACAAAAATCATAAATTAATCGTTTATTTCATTTTGAAATATCAGTTCTTCAATATTTATTTATGAAACTCAAATTTTTTAAGCATAACATTTTTCTATAGGATTTTATTTTTCAATAATTATTGAATCAGTTATTGTTACAAAGAGTTCTGCAGTAGGTATAATTGAGTGTAAAAATAAATCAGAGCTTTCATTTTGACAGAGAAATCGCATAGAAAATCGTTCGAACTGATCGCGGAATGAACACGGATGTCCTAATCTGTCGTTTATCCAGAGTGCAGTATACAATTAACATTTCATATTTAATTTCCAGTTTTCTTTAATTTCATTTATGAGATTGACAGATTAATAATCAAATGCTAAGAATATTAAAATTTAGTTGTAAAACACAGATAATTAAATGCTATTAGTAATACTATTATGCAATATAATTGTAATAAAAGTACAATATAAATCATTTAAGAAGAGAAAGACAAGAAAAGAGATGAAACATATAGCATTCAATTTAATGTATAATTATATATAATATTAAGTACAAATGAATGTTTGAAATACTTGTCTACTATTACAGTATGAATTCTGTCAGACATTCGATCAGAAGTAGTCTTATTGATTGACTGCTGACCATTATGCTCTTAAGCGTAACGAAACTTACGGAATACAAAATTAATTTAAATTTAACACAGTTATTTCATTTGATTATTTATTCACCGAAGTCATCAGTGTAGAAAGTAACATTTTAATACAATTTTTGTTTTTTTACACTGATATATAGAAATGTGTATCTAAATGTTTTATCCGTACCAATAGTCACAATATTGTAATCCATATGAACTTGTCTATAATAATTATGCTACGGTTTTACAAATATGTACCTATAAATATTTTCTACATTCTTAACCACATAAGCCCTATGTCATCGAGTCAGACTCGTGATAGAAATTTTAAACTGAATTCGACAAACCTGAATATTATTAATTTTTTAAACATAAATTCAATATTTCTTTTCTATTATCAATCTTTAACGTCTGAAATAAACGTAGGCACAGAATAAGTGCAAAATTCTTCTTTTCCTAATAAATTATTAACGATAAAGTACCTTTATCATGCACAGCCGCGAAGCAAATCATAGAGCAAGCGGTTAACCTTGAAATCAGAATAAATAAATTAGTATTTTGAGAAATCATTCGACGTGCACAATATCCCATTTAAGTCGATTTTTACAATTAAAAAGCCATTAACTTAAGGAATATATAATGATGATACTATTATATTAATGTCGTAAAATAGTAACAGTTGTACAATAGTATTTTACTTTCTTAAAGTAAGTATTTAAGACTACGTGAAAATTCTGAATATCAATATCGATATTTCTATAACGATCACAATTTTTTCAGAATATAGGAATCAAAAATAACAACAGCCCCGATTTCAATCGCTGAAAAGAAAGCTAACAATGTTGAGTTTGTTTGGTCATTTCAGACGAGAGAACGAAAGGAAAAAATTGATAATTAAAGGCTAGTGAACAATTTTAAAAATTTTTTTTGAAATTTGTTTATTGGTATTTACACTTCTTATGTTCCTTTCGCGGACGGAAGGAATTAAAAGAGACCTAACTTTAGAGACTTTGACTTTATATTGTCACTATACACTAATTGCTATATACTAACAGTAAGTAATATACTGTTATACAAAATTTAACATTTATTGATCATGTAAGCCATAAGATAGCGTGGATTTCAAAAAACATAATTTTTTCAAATTCAAAATTTTTCACAAGTACTATTTCACTGCTACAGTTTCACGTATCCTTCAAATCGTTGTCAATTTGTCGATTCTAAATATTCAGACATAGAATTTTACAAACACATGTTTGGTATTCTACTACACCTGATCCTCGATTTACACGGCACCTTTTTACACGATAAATTAAGAGACTATTCACAGTAGTTTTTATGTGCGATCTTAATTTACGCGATCTGAATTTAATAACACACAATATTTTTTTTCTTGTACTGACAGACTCTATTTACGTGATTTTCATTCACATGAAACAAATCTGCGTATATATAAAATATAATAAGAAAGTAAAAAAATCAAATAAAGAAGTATATACTCGTCAAACGTAGAGCAAGTGCATCTATAACATATTCTAACGAAAAACTAAAGCAAAACGAAGAAGAATTAGGCACCTATCTGAAAAAATAAATAATTGATCGTTAAAGAAATTAGTAGTATTTTGCGTGTTAAGATGACGTGTATACTTATCAAACGCAGTTATTTGGTTAAGGAAATGTAAAAAACATTGTTTTTTTGATATTCTGCAGTGTAGTACTCTTTCTTTAATGAGGAACCAACCAAAAGGGAAACCACCAACGCATCCGCTTTCACGGAAGTATTGCTGGACGAGCCATTTGTCATCGTTCAATGATTTGCTACTGCGCGCTGAATATCTGCAGCCTAATGGTAACCTTATCCGTTGTTGCAAATCCACGGCCTATGAGAATGTTAGGGCGTTCCAATACTCACACCCACATTCTCGACAGCTGAAATGTCTGGCCTAACGACCTATTTCAACGTATGACGACCTACTTGTTTGTTCTACCGATAATCGTAACTGTGTCCCAAAGTCGTACTGAAATTTTAAGACTTCAAGATGTAAAGAACAGTAAGCTTAATGTTACAAAATAGTTCTTATATTTACTTACTTTTTATTTATAATGGTGATCATATACTTACGTTTTTAACGGTTAAAGTTCCAAACGATGTACATCCTTGTGAAATTCATAATAAAGTTCTGAAATTATATTTTCATAAAAGTAGGACTTTTCACTATATTAATAAGCTATGGATTTTTATACATTTATGGTAAACTCGGGAATGAAAAATTTCACAGAATGCACGTGATAGGAAACAATATCTACATAAAACGTTTAAAGCGTACTGCATTTTATAATATTTTGTATAATAGTAGCTCTCTTGTTCTAATTACATTCATGAAAATTTGAATTTGTATAAAAATTCACAGTCCATGTATTAAGTGAACGTAAACGTTTCATTTTCGCCAACAGTTGAATTGATTTATGAATACTTCATATCCAGCAACAGTGTTTGGAAGAGGTAATCACTTACGTACGTGTGAATTTGACTGTAGGTCCAAAAATAAATAAATTATACTTGTAGTATTTGCTCTATATTCTGCGACATCTATATTTTTAGATTGTTATGTATTTCTCTAGATTGATTGACGATACTTTGTTGAGATTAAGTTTGTGAGTCTTGAGTAATCTAAGTCGAAGTGTTAAAATTTTTGTGATACGTAAAGATATTAACAAAGTGTGCTGTGTCATTCGGAAGTCACCTTTTTGGTAGATTCAGTGATTTGCTATAAACATTTTCGTAAATGGTAGTAAAATTTGTTGCGCTGTTTTTAGCAAACATATTGATCCATAATTCCTTGCATCCACAATTTATGATCTGTGCAAGCTAAACATTTATAAACACCCCACATTTTGCCATTACATAAGAGTTTGTTAAATGTTAATTCATTCATGAAAATTGTTTAACTTCATTATTCTTGGATTCAATTTAAGGGGACATAATTACTTAAAACTTTCTAAAGATCAATTACTTTTACCTATTTTCACGAATTGATACCTTAAAAATATTATAAATCAAATCTAATATAGAATTGCGAGGAATTTGCGAAATTCTAAAATGTTGAATAAAATAGTCCAAGAAGTCGTTAGTTTGGCCAAAACTTCAAAGTCATTTCTTTCAAAATTACTTCTTTTTCACATTAGGTGTCAGACTTTAAGTTGCGTTCAACTGATTGAAGCAAATGCTAGTGGACTCGCATTACAACTTTGACACCAGTTAAAGAAACTTTGTTTAATCAGATGCTCCATTTTTCAGTTCAATTCACAACTCTAAAAAGTTTTTCAGAAAAACTGCAATGAAGTGTTTTGGCACGTAACTATTAAAGTTACGTACCTCTACATGCCAATAACAACTCCTTAGTACAGCAAACGTAATCCTAGTTTCACTTGTTTCAAAGTATATGTAATCCATTAAAATGGTTCGAATTACAGTATGGAATTGTTGCATTTAGCAGCTACCGTGAACGATTGTATTTCAAAGCTGTCGAGTAAAAATGAACATTTAAATAAAAATCTGCTGAATCAAATGCAGACTTTCATTTATAAAGGGATAACCTATTTCGCAAGGCCGAATACATCGAAGAGAATATGAAAAATATGCGATCCCATAGAATTACAAGCTGCGTGCCAATTATGACAGCCGCGCGGGGTTACTTAAGAACAGTACAGTATCCGCCCTCGGATTTGCATTCGTCTCTTCTACCTATTATAAGGACCTATTACGATCATCCTTCATATCTATCACCTGAAACTATTATACATAACTTCAATGGTATGTACGCATACCTCGGTGTGGTTTTATGCATACTTCTAGACATATCATTACATCTACCATTTGCGTAGGAAAAAGGATTTACGTATGAATGTTTCAATTAATTTGACTAATCGTACCTCATCTTGTGTTTGAAATGAAAGTATGCATATAATTCACTCGTATCTGCAAGAAAAGAGTAACCATTTCCTTTAGAAATCGGTCACCTTTATCGTTCATATTTATTAACATTCCTTTTTTCTATTTCAACATCGAGAATGAAGGTTACTTTAGTTGGACTACATTATCCCCACCACAAAAAATGTTTGGAAAATGGTTTCAACAAAATTTTTATTTATTTTTAATAATACATTAAAAACTACATATAAAACAGAGAACATATTTACATTTCTTTCACAGAGTTTTACAAAATCTGTTTATAAAGACTTTTAAATATTATCAATTTGTTACTACTGAAAACAATTTTAGTTGGGTACTTCATTGAATTTTCATTTAATTTCTTATTTAATTTTATTTAGTATCATCAGAGAAATAAATGATGCAAAGTAAAATGTTACACTTAATAATTAATAACTTTATTAGTATGCACAGAAATTGCATAGAAGTCTTACTGCACGCTCTGGAAATATAACTTCGAGAATGAAGATTTCCTTAGTTGGTTTACTTTATCCTCATTACAAAAGACGTTTGGAAAATGGTTTTAATGAAATATGTCTTAGTAAATTTTTGAAATTTACTACGTTTGTAACAAGTTTTACATTCTTTGTAAATTATAAATATGTAATCAAATTGATGATTATTATTATACACAAAATGGCATTGGTTTATTTAACGCGTCGGCTAGCAGCATTAGAGAGCAAAATAAAAAAAGCAGATTGATACAAGGAAATTTTATCGACTTTGAATTTGGTATGCATAGCCGGTCTAGGATGTGTTACAAGGTGCCCATTCAAGATTTTAATACGGCATAATACACGTGTACCAACATGTGCATTAGCAGGCATTGTTGAAATGTTTCAGTTCTCCATGGCTGTAATTGTAAGTAAGCAGAACGGGGTTGAATGTAAGTTGATTACACATTATTGACGACGATTAAAATGCAATAGCCATCGTCAATCCGATTACAAGTTCCTCTTTATAATCACTGAGTATTACCTACTGATCTACAATTGAAATTCAGGTAATTACAGTAAATTCTAATTTATAATCACGGGAAATAACTTGCAATCGACACTACACTTGCATTTCAATCGTCAATAATAATATGTAATAATTAACGTCCAACGCTGTTACCACGTAAGTAAATATTCATGACTTCACGTTCTGAATAAATTTGACGTCAAATCAATTTATTTTTCTTTTAATTTTACTTTCAACGAAATAGAAGAAACGAGTAGGTTAGCATATTCTTAGCTAAGCAACTAAATGAAATAAAAATTACAGTATTTCATTGTAAAAAATCATATAACTTTTCTCGTATTGCAATGAACATTTATTTTACTTGAAGAGAGTCATATTAAATTTATATTTAAAGTCACATCACATAAAAACCTTCGTTGCAAGTTACAATATTTAACAAAAGAAGTACATACGCGATTAATTAAATATTGAAACCATAGAGATCACCACCGAATGAAATAGTTCAAAGTACATTCAAAATATTTAACTTTGTTTTCCTCTTTCATAATCGAATATTCCCTTATCACAAAAGTAATATTAAGAATTTTATCAACGTTATTCCCACATCTTCGATTAAATAAAGCAGTTGCTATTTTATAAATAATTCCTGTTAGTGAATAGAAATCAAATTAAAATGAAAATCTAACCTCAAATATTTATACGAAGACACTTTACCAGTAACTCGTACTACAATGGGGAAACATTTCGCATATGCATACATACGCGAAAAATATAACGGAAATATGAAAGCGTCGTTTCTTACAATGTATCTTTTTATGCAAAGCGAATGATGTTACGAAATGAATCGAAGCGATTCACGGCATTATCGATAGCCTGCATTGTTCATCGAATGAAGATGGGTGGGTCGGCAAACCACAAATCTTAAGTCGAGGCGTAGTATGACCTCTCAGTTATGCTGCGCAGGATTACCTAAGAAGAGCACGTCGTCTTAATCCGCCCTCGGATCATGCTCGTCATCCTTGCAAACCTTGGTGCACTAGTAATCATATGTCCTGCAGTGTGCGGTTTTCAATAGTGTTCGCTCAGTAAACAATGATGAAAACATTTTTATATAGGGAATGTTTTACTTTATTTTGACACCTTAACGGTATTCTTATTAAACCCTTGCCTTATGATTTATTTCTTAACTATGATCGAAATAACTACTTTATCGTTAATAATTTATTAGGAAAAGTAACATTTTTATGCTTATTCTGTGTCTACGTTCTACAGTTTTACGCAGAAGCTATCCTATGTCACCGGTTATTATTCCGTAATTAAATATGAAAGTGAAACGATCTAAATAAATTTGAATATACTTTATTTATACAAAATGAATTGAAATAAAACTTTGAACGTATATTTTATATAACTTTGAATATTTTGCTTTTGCAATATTCTATATTGCCCTGCGTTTCAAAAATTGAAATAATGCAAGTGCAAACACAAGTTAACTCGTGATCGATCAAGAACGTTTGGACATAAAAACACGAATTAACTCGTGACTCGTCAACAATGTGATAATAATTGTAACGAAACATTTTTTGAACAAAATTAAATGGTTTCGAGGGTAGTATATTATAGTTTTATTGTTTTCTTTGTAGATGGATGTGGGGTCAACTTCGAATTTTTCTTTAATGGAACCTTATACTCTTTTTTGCATCTGTCAACTCAGCTTTTCATTCTTTGTCAAAAAATTATTAACACTTAATAAACGACGGAATTAAGGTGTTAAAATGAAGTAAAACGTCCTGTATATCTACTAAAATATTCTAGTATGTCATGTTTTAATAAACTTCTTTAATACCGTCGTGTATTGTAAATAGAAAGTTATTTAAGAAACATGGTTATGTATGAAATTGATGTTACAGTGCTTGCAAAATGTAAAAATCCTAAATGTTGAAACCCATAAAATTCGAAAGTATTACATCACATAGTATAAAATTAGAGTGTATACATATAGAATACTCCGTATTAACTTATTATTACAATTAAAGGTTTCATCGTATTGAAACATTCGTTTGAATGTCCATATATCTTTCTATACAGATGTACTATTACTGGGATCAGACCATTATGGTAGAAATCATTATGCAGTATGTATCTGTGTATATGTATATCCTAAAATCCTTATACGCTTTAACAGCCAAAAACATATGCGATCAGTAATTGTTTAAACAAGTTACCAATTTTCTTGATCTCTATATACAAATAAAAAATGTTCTACCAAAAAAATTATTATTATATTATCTGAAAATTCTTTTATTCGAACATATTCTCTTTCTATTAATTGGAATAGCGAACGATATCACGCGCTGGTAGTATCTTGCTGAGTAAAGATATTAGGATTCTTGAACTATAAGTGTCTTTTAAAAAGTAACGATAATAAGATCCGTGATATACTGAAACAATCTGTCTAATTACAAATTAGGTATAAAAAGCATCTGTTACTTAATTACTCTTGACATCAATTTCGCGTATCATCTACGATATATTTCCATATCCTGATAGTTGTTCAAGAAAATTGCTGATTCTTTATTCTTATAAGTTCTTTCTCCTTGAAACTTTATTCTTTATGTTACAGTGCAGGTTATGCTGTAATACCATTCTCGAAAACATCATACAAATTTTCAGCGGTTACAATAGCGTTAGCTTCTTCTTGGAACTCATAAAATATACAATTTGACTGCAATTTTTTCACAGACATGTTTCTTGTATCATCGATGGTGATTAACTAATTACAATAGAACCTTGGTTAGCCGGACGAGTCGAAGGAAAAGCAGCTCGGATAAATCAAAACTGTATAATTAGAACTTGAAGAGAAAATATTAGAAATTATGTAATATATGGAGGATGTTTCAGTAAGAATTAGCATTTGATTATCTCTGTTATTTTCGGAGATACGGCAAAACTTTTTTAACAAAAGTTTTTCAGTATAAGTGGAACTATAATGTGGTAGTAACAGTTTTTCTGTAGGTGGAACAGTTTCGAAGATTTCAAGGTTATCGTTACTTTCTTAAATGAGATTTTATATTTTTCATGTTTAATTAAGGAATGTTAATAATAATTTTAGTCGGACACAGATGTCCTCTTTTCACATCTATAATAATACAGTCGGTGCAGTACAATATGTTTAAAAATTAGCAATAGAAGTTTAACCACTTGACCTACAATATCATGTCAGACTTGTGACGAAAATTTTAAACTGAATTTGACAAATCTAAGTGTTAGTTATTTTGTTTAAATATAAATTAAATATTATTTTGCTATTATCAACCGTTAACCTTTTCAGTAAATGTACACATAAAATAAGCACCAGAATTTCTTTTTTCCTAATAAATTATTAACGACAAAGTAATGGTACCGATCATAATTAAGAAATATGTCATAGGTCAGGGGATTAATTATAAAATGTTATCGCAAGGAATTATTATAAATGTATAAAATGAAGCAAGAAGATTTTGTTTCAACCAAATCCCTATGAAAGATAATATCAAGCAGGAAAAACAATACAGACGGGAAAATTACAAACTGATTAAAGATATGCGGAATGAGGTTCGACGGGGAGGAATCTCATACAATTTCCTACAATACAATCATGGAAGAAGATACACAATTTACAGTTTTTGATTTACATTTTGAAAAAAAAAGGGAAGCCTAAAAATGTTCGCTGTTATTGAATGTTATCATTATACACAACGTAAACATCTATAGCAGGAGATAAATATAATAATATGACGAGTTTACTGTCGTATACACCTCCTAATTTATTTTTTATAGGCATATATTTATAAATTCTTATATAACTGACAAAATTTCTTAATATACTCGACTGTTCGTTTACTTATATGTCTACATTTTAATTATTATTATTCCCCTTTTATTCATATCCTTTATGACTTGTTATTATTGAAAGTGATATAAGTCCATTTATAGCTAAGAAACCGCTTATTTATTTCAGCAATTTTATTCAATGTTATTATATAATAAAATTTAACAAGTTTATATTTTTACAAAACTACCTGAATTTATTAACGTTTGCCAATATTTTTTAGTTAATTCAAAAGAAAATTCATATATATCTCAATATATAAATTGTATTTAAGACTTCGCGGATCGAGTCGTATAATGCCTCGGATATCGTTTATCTTGTAGAGGATGTGTGAGTCGGTTAGGTTCGAAGATACGAAAAGAGACAACACTGAAGCACCGTTCCGTATTTCGGTAAATTACCAACTAATTAATCGTCAATATACATTTCAAGGAGGCTATACGCAGATATGTTTAACATAAATAAATGGACTTATATAATTTTCAAAAACAACGACACATACTACATATTATATGTATATTATACAAATAATATATCAAATTTATACGTTCCGTTACGTAAAAATAGAAATTATGTAATGCATATACACGATAGGCATTCCTTTTGGTAGAAGTAATATCACTTTTCGCGATATACATATTTATGAAGCATACTTTGTTACATTTGCACTTGCAAACGCTTCGTCATGATGACTTTTCATTGTCAAGTTTCTCATGACATATTGTCTCGTTGTTCTATGCATTAAACATGATTTAAAATATTTGTTTCATTTTCTCGTAAATGAAAAGGCGTTGATAAATACTCTGGCGTATGTATATGCTATTACTGCAGAATAAACATAGACAAATTTATCGAAATAAATTGTACAAAAAACAAGCAGAATTGCACAAATTTTCCACAGAAATAACTAAAAGTAACGTCCAACATACATTTTATACTGAAACAATCAATAAACAATTTTTGCAGATTGTTGTATTAAAAACTTTGAACAATATTTCTCTCGTTGCATTTCAGATAAATTTAATTTAAAGAAAGAAACAAATTTACAATGCTCATTATTCCCTCAATATAATATATAATCAATTTATTATAAAACAAAATTATTATATATATTTTAATATATATATTACATTTAAACCTATTGAAACCATTTTTAAAATAATAATTTTGTAATATTATTTATCATAGCGTATAAATTAAATTACATTCCATTACATTACATTAAGTGTCTATTGATGGTTGTTTCATGAATTGATTATTGTAACTTTAAAGGCACTTAATAATTGATATTAATTATAATGATTAAATATCTTGCTTTATTGCTTTATTGCTGTTTCCATAAGTAAATACTACCTTCATACAAGGAACTCAATTTTGACTCTTAATTCGAATATCCACTGTTCTGGAAGTCGTCATTATGTTTTTCTACGATGAAACACTACGCTCCACTGATTGACGTTTGCGCTCGTGCTCCGTGTAAACAAAAGAATAGAGATAGTTGGATAAAAATCTCAATGGACGATTCCATCTTCTTTTTCTACAATCTCAGACGTCACGAGAAAACATCGGATTATCATTTCTCGCCATCTGCTGGATTCTTCTGCTATCGCTTCGCTAGTTTTTAAATCGGATACATGCTGACGCCTTTAACGCCGAAAGATCAACGCTGGAATAGTCAATGGAAGGAAGAATGAGAATAAAAAATGCATTCTCGGTGGATATTAGGCTGTCGAATAAAATTGTATAATGTTAATCTTAATATCGTCAGGGTAATTCAATAAAATAAAGACTTAGAACATGTACTATAGAGTATCAGTAAATGCACACGGAAGGAAAGATGTTGAAATAATATGTTAATCGTCTATGAAACAATCGTCTGTTGATTATCTAAACGATGCTCATTGTTAGCATAGAAGAGATGACCACCACGCGAGCCTATCATTTCTAGCGTTACAGTTTTATTTCTCCATGGAAAATAAAATTTCTAATATTTTTAGATTCCTGTAATTGAATTTTTCTAACTGTGTAATTAGATTTCTTGTAATATCTTCACTTTCTAAAATGGACTGAAACAAATCTCCAAACACAAGCCCGTTTTGGATATTCTTTTCACTTTCATCAGTGTTTTTTCAAGATTTTTTTGTATTCATAATATAACAGGATAATAATTTACGTTTGTATTTAAAACGCAAATGCAGAAATATTAGTATAAAACTACAAAACGTATTATAAATGAAATATTTACTTCTCTTTAAATCGATTTTAAAAATAAGAAGTTGACGCCCATATTCATTCTCTATTGTTGTATCTCAGTTTGTCGTATTCTGTTTCATTTGCGATCTTCGTTTACGCGAATCGACTAATAACAAAAATTATCGAAACCGAAGCGTCAACGTTCATCGCGAGTGAACGTGTGCCCTTACCGCACTTCCCCCTTCAGTTCGTGTGACAAATTACCAAATGTCGTTAGAGGACAACACCTCATGTGTAGTGTATGTGGTTCGCGGGCACACGCGCACGCATGCGTAAATAATTTTGTTTCACAGAACAAAATTATATGAATTTTAAAAACAACGACATTACGCTTTTGAAACGAGCCTAGACTAACTGCTGTATAACAGTTTAGTAATTATTTACAACACTGATTCCTCACCGATGTCGATGACCTTGAAATATGTTGAGGAAGACTTGATTCTGAACAGCTTTTTTCTATATATTTTTTCCTATAAATGAAGACGAAAATTTCTAGCGCAATGCGAAACTTTTAATCCAATACTCACTGCTGAAAACTTTAAAGTCCTGAGTGTACAGAGCATTAATTTTAACAATATAAGTCAAGACCAAGGTCATACGAGGGTTTCCCTTTTTGTAAACAAAAACGATAATTCCTCATTCTTGGACATATTTTTGTGAATATTTAGAAAATTAAAGTCGAGCGACGCTATCACGTATAGGAAAAAGTGATTCAGAATGAAGTCCTTACAACATATTTCAAGGTCATCCAAATCAGTGAGGAATCAGTGTTGTAAATAATTACCAACAGTTTTTCATGGCGTTATAACGCTTCGAACACGAATAATTTTGCAACGAAGATTTATCAATCATTTTATTTTCCACCGTGGTGTATAAGTATTACATGTTGAACATTTATTCGTGCATTGGAGCGTGTAAATAAGGTAAGATTGCTTTATCCTTTAAAAACTATACCACATGGGAATCTTTGCTTATGGCTGACAGTTGCTACGCTAATCAGCTGTCAGTACATGTGTTTTAGGTAGTTAGTGTGCAGCCGTAAGTTTTTTTTCACAAAATTCATATTTGAAAGAAATACATATTCAAGTACGAAAAGGTTAAGTCGTACCACGGATTAAATCGTACCTCTTAAGTTTTCTATTGAATACCATAGCAACAGCGCTTCTCACAAAAGGAACCAGATCTCACAAAAGGAACCGGATCCAGAGGAAAACCGAAGTTGCTTAGGTTTTGTTTTTTATTGAGTCACACGATGGCAAGTTCGAGTTGGAAAAACGTGGTAGAGATTTTAATTTGATGATGACCATTGATCAGGATAATTCTGCTTTTCTTCTCGATTGATGGGATTTAGGAAAACTCGGGGAAGGGAGAATTTGGTAACGGAGAAGGAGAAGCATTTGGTCCTTAATGATTCACGTTCACGGTTGAAGTGACTAAAAATCTGGACGTCGGTCTGCCAGCTGTGTTAATACCTTGTCAGATGTACAAGATGTTCGCAGAGTGGTTAGGTTTATAAGTAGACGTAATTATGATGCTAACGGAGCATTTCGGTATGCGTAATTGTTGTTTTTAAATGGAGGTGATAATGAATACGTTTTCTGATGAACGCAGGCATGGTATGATGTGATGATAGGTCTGATATCAATAATAATAGTAATAATAATAACAACATCATCAACAACAACAACAACAACAACAGTTATTATGAAGATATAGGTTGTTTAGTGGGGTAGAATGTAACAATTAGTGTACTAGTAACAGATTAGTGTGAACAATATTGGCTTGCATAGCCAGATTTAATTACCAATGGCTTAACAACATTGCCTCCTGACAAGTAAGTTCGCTGTTGTTTTCTTATAATTTTTGGTACGTATTTGTAACACTTTGAAGTAAACTATTAATGTTAAATTCTTGTTCCCTTTTAAGTAGTCATTCTGTAGCATTTAAACAGTCACTTCCTCAAAATTATATCATACCAGTTCGATTTAGCATTTTATTGTATTTATTTGAAGTGTAACATGTGCTGGATCTTAAATCGCACCTACAAAAGATTTTTAAATCGTACCATAACCTTACCCTATCATTTAGGAGAAGGTGAGGCAAGATGAGGTCGCAGGGCAAGACAGGGCAGTTGTTAATGTCGTATTATTATGTACTCATATTACTAAAAATGAAATAAGTACATTCATTATACCATAAACGATACATTCCCGGTGCTCTTTAAAGTCCGTTTATTTAGTTCTTGCGCGTTTGCCAGTAATAATAATAATTCTTACGTTTGTAATTTTACTGTTCGACGTGTTGTAAATATTAACAGTTCAGTAACAAATTAATCGTATTATCATTTTAATACCGTCAGATAAGGAATTTCTCAAGCTTATGAACATCAATTGTAAATAAATAGCGATAGTATCACTCAATTTAACGATGTTGTCACTTAATTTTTAAACAAATTCGTTTGCACATAGAATATAAAAACTGAGAGACATAGTTGATCCAAAGAATCAATGTAGAAAGCTGTTAAAGCAGTTATATAGGAAAAAGAAGTACCTTAAAACAGCTGCAGATTTTTGTGTGCCCCTAAATCTGCATTAGAGAGGAAAATGGCACACGTGGAAAAAGACAAGATCTTGATACTATTTACTAAATTGGCTTTTTTTGTATTTTATCTATTAAGTTTTATAAATCAATTTTAATATTTTTTGTTAAACAGATAACGACACTATAAACAGTATTTTTTACAGACACAAAATCAGTAAACATAAAATTATTTTTATTTTTTCTTAGCGTTCGTACCTTGCCCCATCTCCCTCTACGTTATTTCCCTTGTGAAAGACTCTTGAAGAAGATTTTTTAAAAAACTTTAGTAATATGACACAGATGTACATAAATTATACTTTTCTTCTCTTATTATGTTGTGAAACATTTGATCACTTCAATTTAATTAGATTAAAGGAAAAGAATTGTATTCTTATCGTTTGTGAAAACAGTTGTAACAACCAGTAATAACTTGTCATTATCGATCGGTTTATTGGTTATGATTATTACGATAAATCACAATGTCTGTAGACCTTTTAATCGTAAAACAATGGCCATCCAGATACGTAATCTCTTCTCATACGTGTAATGGCATCCGTGAAAATGTTACATTTCCATTTTTTCAAAAAGAATATTACCCAAGAAATAAAGAGAATTTTCTCAATGAAGACGTGATAAAAGATCTTATTTAATTTTATCCTTCAATTTCATTGAATATAAAGTGTTTTCATTAAAAGAACTCAGAAAAGTTTTAAATTACTAAAACTTACTTACCAACTTACTTAGATCTTAATTGACTTTCATGAATAAAGTCTTGCCAATTAATTAATAATATTTCGTGTAGACGTATGGAAAATAAACAAATGTTCATTTTCGCCAACAAATAGCACCCTGCAGTAATAATATTTGCCGGCACTCGATATAAATACAGTAGTGGTATAAGCGAATATTGTGTGTTATCAAGGAAGCGAGATCTGTTTATAAAAATAACAACGCTGATTGTAAACACGAGAAGAGATAATTAGGAAAATAGGATTGCACAAAATAATTGTATTATTGTAGGAAATTTGGTATTGAGGGGATCGATAATGTTCACAATGCGTTAATAACTAAAACTATAACAGTTTATTACTAAAAGACTATAATAAGGAATAAAACAAAACAAATAATGCTACGCTTCTATACAACCGCTCACTCGCTATCTCGCACCAAAAATTCGTCTGCTCACGCATTTTCACTTGTTTTCGAAGCTCACCCTCATTCGCTCTTGCTTTCGTGCACTTACATCCTTCTCACTCGCACCCTGATCTTTCGTCTATAGCCGAAGGTCTCCATGCGCGTTGGAACATGCGGCGATGCAACGAGCGATGAGTTTGAACTTTTTCCACTTTTTCTTTGGATGCAACATGTATCATGAAACTTTGAAAGATTCAAACCCAACACTCGTAGCGGTGCCCGCATCACCACAAGTTTCAACGTGTATGAGGGCCTTTACGACCGCCAATCTGAGGCTTATATGAGCATAGGGGCAAGAGGAGACGTCCATTCGGGGTGCTCGACCCGATAGTTACGATGGCTCGGTTTCGGTACGTCTTTTTACTGGGCAAGTCGCGAGACGAAGAAATCAAACGACCAATAACAAAGGCATGCCGAAACTGAACATCAGCGTGTATGGGAGCTAAAGCTAAAATGATTAAAATGTGAAAGGCGAATAGTACACGCTGTATTTTCACGCCTCATTCTCACGGTGCAAGTCGCTCGGTCGCAAACACTTTTCTTCCGTGCATCTCCAGGCATTTGACTTTTCCACGCGCAGTCACCCTTGTTTTCAAACAAGCTGGCGCCACTCAGTCGCAAGGCGACACCGACCACACACAAGTACGCTGCACCCTTCATACTCACAATATTTTTTCAAAAAGTAAGAATTATGTGAAATTATTGAGTTTCCCTGAGGTAGTAATAAATTCCAATAAATGCCAGAGTAATTTTCACAGAATATGTATATTAACGAATGTGGTATATATGTACAATACATGAGCATAAACGGTTGCAAAGGAATAAAACAAAACAATAAATCATTTTACAACGTGTGAGTTTCTACTGGTGCCGGGTGAGCTCTGATGTACTCAAGAGCTCTTTGGATGAGAGGAGAAATTTGAGGGATATGTGCACCCTGCGGTTGATATCCATTGTGATCTGCGACGTAGGATACGGCAATCGGAGTACCATCGGGAGCTGTATACTGGTATTGTCCTTGAGCAGTGACGACAGGTGGATGGCTTGGATCTACGACTAGCGGACTTCCGTTTTCAGCGTGAAAAATGCCATTTTCCGTTTCGTAAGAGAAGGAATAGGATCCATCGGTCGATGAATCATGAGTCTGTCTCACAATAGCTGCGGGTGCTTGGAGCAACACCTCGCCTGCAACAGCAGCCACCAAAACGAAGGAAAGGATCTGAAATCCAAGTTTACTCTTATCAATATTGAATTTTTAACAGTCAATTAAGGAAACACTATGGTGCACCGTCACATGCTTGTGACGCTGAATATTTTGCATCTCGAATAAAGAAAATAAAACTACTTTCACGTATGTTTTAATTTAAAGTCGTAACGCATGGTATAACGTGCAGGGTGTCAATGAGATTCTTTTCTTGAACATTATTTGCGTTTTATAGAGAGGATTGTTCGCATATAATAAAATATTGTAACTATGAAGATTGCTGCTGAAACAAACGCTGATGGCAAACGTGTTAAGATATAAATATTGTATAATAAATTAATTCAGACAGATCTCAGGAATACAATAAATTCTATATTTACTATTATAGTCATAATCAGCGTAGTGATTTTTTAATTTACCTACTTGTGCCAACCTAAACATATTATTTTCGTTGTACTTAATAAATAATTTAATATTTCTTGATAGTCAATACTTACTAATTTTATATTTAAAATTTATGACAATAAATGTATTAACAAATGTTTTAATTTGATATATTTAAGTGTAATTTTTAATAACATAGAAGAGGAACTTGTAACTTTTAAAACACATTGCTGCTGTACAGCTGAATAAACCAATACCCAGCATCGTGACTTAAACGGTTAGTATAAAATATAATGTTTAATATAAATAATATCAATAATTAAAAGTGAATAAAAAATCAATGTATTTTTCATTTAAAAAGGAGTAGGTTTCATTGCAAACTAAATTAACCACTTCAATTTAGAAAATACAAAATGAACATTTGCAATGATTTAATTAAAAAATACAATAGGTTTTCATTTATTTACAGATTTGGATAAATTTCAAGAAGCAACCACACTAAAAATTAAAATATACAAATAGCTTCTATAATAAAAAAGTTTATATAATAAAAAATATGTCTGAACAATTCGTGAATTTAATGATTTAACTATAGAAATAGTTAACAAATAATAATTATACAATGTAAACATAACACAAATTCAAATAGAAGGTTACAAAAAAATATAAGAAAATATAAAAAATATCTTGTGATATAATGAAGGTAAATACTGTAGTCGTGAAATATACACTATATTTTCGAGTCTAATGTACTTCTACATACTCCACAATAACAAGCAAATTTGGTGTAACAATTATTTCACAAAACTATCTTTAAATCGCATAATAGAAGAATTCTAGGTACAAGTAAAGGGATAAAAAGAAAAATGATCAAAATCCATGTAAGAGTTCCCACATGACAATAAAAATTTGAAAAAAATATAATATAAAGAAGTTGAAATTACTTGATAGAATATAGTAATTCCGACAAAGAAATATTATCTTAAATAATGTAAGATATAATTAAACACTTTGTGTAGTTATAATCTAATGTGACCGCTAATGAAGAACGTATTCAAAAGAAAAATTTAGCCATAAAACACATCACTGCAAATGTCACTGTCCATGGTGAACAAGTATCTTTTTTCTAAAGTATTAGTACAATAACAAAGATAACGTTGTTAGTTAGTTACTTGATAGGAAAAAAACACTCACAAAAAATTTCATTTTAAATAGCAAGTCGTTACTATCGATCAGTCCAATGAAGGAAGCTGCGGTTTCGAATACGATTCATATGAGAGACGAATGCGCTTTTATATGAAACTCGAGACTCCAACTTTCTCCAAATACGAAATTATTCACAGAAAGATGAGATCACAATTCAACGAGGTGAAGAGGAAGAAGGACAGAGATGACCCGGCGAATATTCGGAAGGAATATCCCACCAAATTTATTCGCCACTTTGACATTTCCACGTTGCCTAAATTAATCGCTTGCATAACCGCGCCTAACCTATGGAGATTATGATGATGTTAATGAAGAACATCTATTCTTGGGCTATTTACATATTAATTCTAGTCTTCGATAATACGCACCGTGTAAGAATTGGCAAAAATAATGTTTTTTTATTCATAGAAAAAACTGCTACAAATTCTTGATTTTTTACATATCTATAATATACACAGTTGCCAAATACATTAGTATAGCTTAGTACAATATTTCTGTACATGACAGCGTGTTACAAAACAGGCATGTCTGAGTGTCTTCATACCCTGTAACCCATTTTTTGGTGACGTTGCGTAAAGCAACACCATCAATACTCACTTTTTGTATAATTACTAAAACATTTCTTTAAAAAATTTGCACGAAACGCATCTTAAAAATCAACAATAGAAATTTTGTACAAAGAACCTATGATCAATGACCAATGTTAATTCTTTATTTCTTCAAGAACAAATAAATCTCTTATATTTCTTAATATATCAATTAATGGTATACTCACTATTGTCATTGAAGTAGTACTGAACACCAAATGTGTCAACGGAACGTATTTCATTCAATATTAAAATTTGGGAACAAAAAGTGGTGAAACCTTCTGGAATGTATTATTTGAACATTAAACCAATTAAACAGGTTAAAGTGTATTTACCATATCGCATACTGCGTGTGAATTTATATTTCTTCATATAGTCGTATATTCCATCACACAGTCACTAAATACTATAGAACAATGTTTCAGTCACTAATATTATAAAACAGTACAAACTATTAAAGAAGAATAAATTGTTTAATTAAAACAAGAGAATTTTATTAAAACTTTATCTCCATATAATTTCTCTGATACAAATATAATTATTTTTTCAAAAACTTGATTTAAAAGAAAGGTTTACTTTATCGAAGTAGATGTCAGAGAAAAGATTCTATGATTTTTTAAGTTACCTCATCGGTCAATTGTTTCCTTAAATGATATTAAGATGTGACAGTTGCACACATAATAAACTGTACATATAATATGTATGTACACAACAACAAAATATTGTTGCATAAATATGTTTCAATGTGTTCTGAAATTTGCATTGGAATTTTAAAAAGACTGGTTCATAAGATTTTAAAGAAAAATGTACTTTAAAGAGGCATGTGTTTTACATAAAAAAAATATACGAGGAAGCATAAACATTAACATAAAGCGCAGAAATAAAATAATAATAAAAATCAGAAATAAGTTAGTATATTTTCTTTGTTATTAGATATTATTATTATATTATTATTTAATATATTATTGTATATTATTATATTGCTGTATCAGATAATTTATAACGTTACAATTAATAATCGAAGTGTATATAATTAAAATAACATTCCACTAGTGCTTCAGCATTTTTTTCTATAATTTATGGGTGAGATTCAAGACGCAAATACGAAAGATTTCATGGTTGCATTATGACATTAACCTTGTTTATACTTACCAAGTGAATCTTAGGAAGGACGACTATTTTCAAAAGTGGAAATATAAATTCTGACTACATTTTTCATACATTGTATTGAACTTGCATTTGGTTTGTCCGAATTAACAAGTAACTATCGAGCTTCTATTTTTATGAGAAGTGTAACGCCTTACATATCTTACATCATAGATAAAATAAAAAATTGTCATACAAAATAAAATTATACTCAACTTTGTATACAAGTTCTCCAATAAAACATTATCATATCACAATTTCATTTTACGAGTTTTCAAAGAATACGCATACATGACATTTTTTAGTGTTTACTTCTCCTTTCATTTTTTTTTTCGAGAAATTTACGTAAGGTGCCCTACCTACCGCGATCGGTCATTTTGACCGGTCGAAGCGTTTACGATGTTTACTTTTCTAAACTTAAAAAACCGTTACGTACCACTAGCTAAAAAATTAATTCTAAAAAAATTACTGTTGTTGCAGTAATAATAAAAGCAAGTAAAAGATAGCATGGCATGATTTTCAACAAAATTATATAACTCTCACTGTATATAAACGCAAGTCAAATAAATAAATGCCTCTACTAAGATCAACACACGACTCAATAGAAATCGATAAAAGTGATAACCGTATACCGAAATTTGGTGTAGACATGAGAGACTAAATGGCACGAAAATACAGCGTAAGATCGATATCTAATAGATGGTCTTTCTCAATATTCTGGACCTAACTGAAATCGGCGCTTCGATTTTATATAAATATATAACAGGAGAAAAAATGTCAAGGCAGGAATTTTTATTCCAGTTAACCACACAGAACTTGCCGTTGAATATCGAAAATTATGGAAAGGAGAAAATACAACGGAAATTCAATTAGCTCAGATTCAAGTGTGCGAAAAACTTACCATAACTTACCATTAAAACTTACCACATAAACTTACCATTAAAACTACAAAAATCTGTTAGAAATGTACAAAATATGTATGCAACAAATGTACAGAGACATTGATGATTTATACAAATACTGTGAAAATAATTAAGATAATTATTATTTTGTTATTTATAAATAATATTTAGAAGTATTTAATGTATATGTAAGTACATGTAATAGCCATGTGTGTGTTTAAAATAGTTTGGAAAAATAATATATCTAAGTTCTTCATTTTTACTTTTGTTGTCTCTGTCAATTCTCTTAAAAAAGTTATAATAAATGAAAAAAAATTTATTTATTTTGTCATTTTATGAAAGTTGTATTTAATACTTAATCCTATTGATGATTATTTAAACTGGAAAGTAAAAATATAGCTTTTTAAAGAACCAGTCATTAAAGGACCGCTCACGGTACGAATTGGTACACGCGAATAACGCCTTAATATACAAGTTTTCAATGTTTATATTTATATTTTCGCAAAAAATTGTTTTTATAAATTTTATTGTTTTTAACATGTTCTTTTGCATGTTATCTATTTATCTTTTAGGCCATAATTGGGAATTAGAATACATGATTGTTTGATAAGACCTTCGCAGTATAACCTTCAGCAAGAATTGATTAACTCACCTTATCATTTTACTAATCTTGCTATTATGCAACACCAAGATGACTTTTATTATTAATTATTGTTCTGTAATCTTATCCTACAATTCTGAAAATCCGCATTTTTCTTTGAACTTATAAATGCACTAAATACACTGTCAGTGTTATTAATTGTTCAGATTAGCTTTAATAAAGAAAGATCAATAAAAGAAACGCGTGCAGCAATAAATCAGTTATATATACACTTTGAACGACACAATTTGTAGTAAGTAATGCTTTTATTACTTCTTGAGATAGTAAAGAATATTCAAAAATAATAATTACGTACTACCAAATTGGTGATAGCACTGTGTAAGAACTATATTTTCAAAATATTTGAAGATTTTACATAATATTTATCTAGTGTAAATATTTGGTCTTATTATTTGAAATTTTATTATTTAAACTAAAGATTATGATTCGCAATGTATACTTGAGAACAAAGAATTATGTTAAATATTGATTTTTGAAAACGCAATGGCGATATGAGACGGTTATACAAATTTTTACACCTCTTATATTATATACATTCCTACACAAATTTTTACGTTATAAATACGCTATGTTCTTCGAATATGAAGGAAATATTTCAAAAATAAAAATGAAATCAATTTTATAAGTTATGGAGAAAAATTAAATTAAAACTATCTACTTTCATTGTAAACAGAAATCGAAAACAAAGTTTTCAGATTAACAACCGTTTTCCAAAATATGAGTATTGTCTTTGTTTCAGTATTTTACAATCTGGTTTGTTTATGTACATGCTATTATTCCTTTAATAATTAAAAATGCGTAAAAATTCCATATGAAAGTTGTTTGACGTCATTTACTTAAAAAGATGTCAGTGCCAATATCATTTTTCGCAAAATAAACCTATATAGACATTTTTATATAACTTATTTGTTGCATACCTCACAACGAATTCGATCATATGTATATTGTTTACTTTTAATTAATAACTCATCGACAAGTTTTAAAAGTACTGACAGTATCCGTCAACTTTGGTAACGTATCTTTAAATATCTATCTTAAGATCTGTGAAAATATGAACAATTGAATACCACTACATCGCCGCATACCATCTTATCCTTCTAAGTAGATGTCCCCTATTATAAAAAATTAATGTTTTTACGTCTAGGTGTTATACTTAAACATGTTCAGTTTTAAAATTATCTGATAATGCCAGCTATATTTATAAAGTACTCGTTCAGGGTTTTTACCTTGTGAACATTAAAAAAGTTCTACTGAATAAATATTAACAGTTAAGTTAAAGCTATAATGTTTTATTTATCTATCCAACGAGTATATTTACATTTATGTCTAAACGTTTTTTATATGTGAATATTGCTCTTAATCGAGCTATTAGCAATTTTCGAAATATATTATTCTAAACAATGTGGTCTTCTGAAAGTATATAATTCATTGGTGTGAGTGGTAATGGTCTGTTGAAAATAAAATTTTTCGTTAAGACTAATTAATTATTATGTTTCAATTTTTTCCCATCAAATGGAATTAACGTGTTGTATAATAAAGAACAAGAAAAAAATCTTACATAAACATAGGATCGTAAATATTCCATTACAAAGTTATAACAAAAATACAAAATTATAAATTGGCTGATCTCATCTACATAAGTAAATACAATATTGATGAGATTTCCTACGTCATTAATCGCCTTATATTTGCATTGCATTATGGAGCCATATCTTTGTTCCACGATTGATCGTAGATTTACTAGC